ACACTCTCTCTCTCTCTCTCTCTCACACACACACACACACACACACACACACACACTCGCTCTCTCTCACACACACACACACACGTTATCACATTTACATTTAGCAGACGTTTTGATAATCGTTCTCATTCAGGGTTTCCACGGGACCCTTAAAACATATTAAAAAGTCCTAAATTTAGTTGTATCACATTTAAGGCCATAAAAGTCTTAAATTGAAAAAAAAAAAGAAAAAAAGTGTTAATTATAATTCCAAGAGGTCTTAAATTTGGGGACGGAAATACAAGAATGGCCGTATGGCTTAATGTGGTGATTAAATGTCATATGAGTGCTGCACACTTCAGTTAAAACGCGGCGCGGTTGTTTTTCTATCAGTGCATCTGTGAAGGCAACTGAATGTCTTCATTTCATCTTGCTTAAGTATAATGACTGATAAAGTAGCGTTTTTCTTTGTGCAGCCGTTACTCCCGTTCCTAAAGCACCTCCTGCTGTCAGAGAAAACATTCGTTTTTCAATAAGCCCATCTGCTGTTCGTTCAGAGCAACAATATTTTTATGCAGCAAACACGCAGTTGTACAAGAGAACAGGTGGATGGACAAGAAGCTGATGCATTATCAAAAATCTAAACAATTAAGACACTATATTACAATATTATAATTCCTACATTTGACTCATCCCTTTTCTTAAAAAAAAAAAAAAAAAGAAATGGTTTAAGGGCTTGTTTTTGTGAAAACCTGTATCTGAACTGTAAATTATGCTGTTTACATTCATTTTATGGTGTAATAATGTTACCGTAGACATTGCCCTACTCTGCTCATATGGTTTTTATTTTATTTGTGCAGGGCTTAAAAAAGCTTTAAATTTGATTTAAAAAATCCTGCAGAAACTCAGTCCTTCTCACACCACGACTGTAATGGCACAGAGGACGAATATTGAATGACTTTCAGAGTATTTCTTCCAGACATTGACAGCCAATCAGAATCCACTTGACTTTAAAGAGCTCGAGCCTTAAAGCGACAGTTTTGCAGCGTGCTTATAATAAGCTGAATATTATCGTCCGTTGGAGTGGATGCTTTAACACACGTCCTGGTTGCTGTATGTTGAGTAACCAAGCTGTTTCTGGCTAATATTTGGTAAGGATTTTAATTTAATTTTGCTTCCCGTCAGGTACGACCATGACAGCGGTCACGACAGCGGCAGCGAAGACGCCTGTTTCGAGGTTTCTCAGCCCTTCACGCTGCTCACCGTGGGCATGGGCCGGCTCTTCATCCCCAAAGCGTCCGCCAGCGCCGCAGGGGATCACAGCAGCCGAGTCCTGCCCATGCCGCAGAGGATCGGAGTCTGTCTGGACTATGACGCCGCTCGCGTGTTCTTCTACGATGCAGACACCATGCGCTGTCTGTACGAGCGACCGGTGGACTGCTCCGGCACCATGTTCCCTGCGTTCGGGCTCCTGGGCGGCGGCGCGGTTCATCTGGAGGAGTTCATCACGGCCAAGCGGCTCTCGTACCTGTGAGGTGTCCGCTAGCTCTGCTAACTCCGTCTCGTTCTCTTGAGTTCCTCGTAACGGTAGATCGTCGTGTGGGTCGGCCGGTGGCGTGTCGCTGTCCTAATATACAAGTCAGTCTGGTTTAAGAGCCAAAGCCCGTCTGGAGTGCCTTCAGTGACATCAGTCGATCAGGATTTTAACAGACCATCAGGGTTCACGCAGGGCACCTTAATACACTGAAATCTAATGCAAAGCCTCACGTCACTTTCTGAAGAATGTGCACTGATACTGTTAATTACTTTTCATCGTTTACATGCACAAGCGATATGATTTAAACAAGAATTCACTACTGAACACCACACGATTGTGCACTAATTTTTTTAAATTGTAGCAGCACCTGCAAAACATGGAAATGTTTCAAAGTAAATAAACTAATAAATCAGTCTGTCCTAGAGCAGCTTGTAGATGTGATTGTGTGCTGGAGATTTTTTCGTAATCGAGTGAAACACGAAAACATTTAATTGAAACACTTTTGAATCAAATGTAGCATCTGAATCAAACTGAACCTAAATACGATTCCTTTGAGACCGACCTGAACACTTTAAATGTACATATGCACTATTATTGTCAAGGCAAGTGTCTTGACGGGACTAACATGGCCTTATATTGAGTAATCGCAGGCTCGCCGCTTCATTAACCAGATGACTGGCTAGAACGGGACTCGACGGAGGGATTCTGCTGGCTCTACTACCTCTGATCGCAGGAGGATCTAGTTTATTCTGTAGTTGTGCCGCGCTAGTCTTGTGCTGTGATTGCTGGGATACGGAGGATATAAACATGTCATCATCTTAAAGTCGGAGCATGTTTGGGACGCGTCCTACTACCTGATTATAGCGTGTTATTCTGTGGATCATTTCCCTCTTTATGCTTGTCATTAATATCTCACACTAATCAAACGTTTTCAACAATGTGACCGCATAAAAGGAGACGTGTGTTCTCTGAACGCTTTAGACGATTAGATTGAGCTTTTACATGTTTGTGATCGTTTTAAAAAAGTGTGTTTGTGTGTAAGATCAGTGGACTGAAGAACTGAGAGCATCTTTTGTGAGTTCCACTATTTCTGTTTGTTTTTGCTTCAAATGAATAGATTTTCTCTGTTTTCACACGTTCACCATCAGAACGGGTTATTTAGTTGCGTTGGATGAGGAATAATGCACTTGTTTCACTGAAGGTGTGTTTGGGAGCCTGTAACCAAATGTTCTGCTGTTTCTTGTACATGTTAAACAGGGTCTGTAGTCGTTACGGTGTGTAATGTGGTACTGAGGTTATGAGTCCTGCTGAAGTTCTTGATATATCACAGCTTTACAGTCTCTGTCACCTGCAGCTGCCTGGTTTTATTTTTAATGTACTGTGTGGGTTTTTGTATAAAAATAAATGAATGTCCTTTTAGCTGTATCAGTGATGTTTCGTTCTCTCTCAAATGAACTTATTAAAAACAAAAATGGAAATGTTGTACCGATAATTTGTATTAATTGATTATATAGTGTAGCTGATAATAGTTGGTTATCGTGGTTAATAAAGACTAACTTAAAGTAGTTTTAAAATCCTAACCGATTATGAAATCTGGGTGCAGCACAAATAAGGAGAATCTTCGCAGTTTTTCCAAATCTCACGCCGAACCTGCTGAGATTGATGGGAATTCCGGCTCTTTTTATGGATCCGGATCATTTAGCTCAGCTCAGAAAAAAGAGCCGACTCTTTCGGCTTCAAACAGCTCTTTATTTAGTACCACTTCTGGCTTTTATAATTCAGCCAAATTTGTCAATATTTTGACCTATGCCTGGTATGTGTGCACAAATATAATTAAATTATTCAAAGTAATTAAACTAAACCATTAAAAAAAAAATAAAACTATATATATTCAAATATTTTTGTCATAGCCTACTTCTGGCTCCAAGCCTTTCCGAAATATCATAATTTTATATTATTTTTAGAATAAAAACACAAAACCTAATTAATATAAAAACATAAATCACTATTACAGAACGTTATTACCCAGATCGCACAGGTGTCTGCTAAAGAGTGCTTGATCTGGGAAACATCTGCTGTGTAAAAACATCTGATACACTTCTTAGAAAAAAAGGCAGATTTACATGCATTCTAAAACAAGCATCTTCAATTTTATAAACCTCTATTTTTACATCTGATAGTCTTAGAGACATATTGCAGATGAGCAAACACTCTAAAAGTGTCTTGCAGATGTAAATGCAGACATTAAATATGTGATGTAGAAATAACTATCCAGAACACAAACTACTATAAACAAATCATACTCGGAATATAACATGGTGTGCCATATAACAAATGAAAACTAAATTACAGTGTGCAAAACAAGCATCCATCACAGCTGTATCGGTATTAACTCTGTCACATTGTGCACGTGTTGTTGAATCTGTTGTGTTTGAGAATCATCCCGTGCACATCAGTGCAAGTGCATGAAGTGCGTGTGGATAACAAGCAGTGTGGCAAAAAAAAAATCATCCCATTATTTTCTCTTGTATTGAGAAAGTTAAAAACCCCGCAGAGAGCCGACTCTCATCGTTCACTTAAATGAGTCGATTCATAGAGCCGACTCTTTCGCGAACGACTCATCACTAGGATAAGCTCCTCTGCGATTTCTTCTGACACGGACTTGGTTTTATTCGTTGTGAAGTTATTCTGACCTAGTTTATATTTTGAGCGACTGGTGTCGAAGTGTTCGTCCTAGTTAACTCGCACTAATCGGCTGTGTCTGGCTGTGTCTGAGAGCAGAAAGTGTTAGTGTTTGAGCCAAAAACAGACTCGGAGCGAGAAAAGACCACAGAAAGAAAACGATGGTGTGTTCATTTCGCTCGTTCATCCGATCTGCTTTGGTAAGTAAGTGTTTTAAATATTGTTTTTAATCTTCATTTAAAATGTGTCGATGATAAAAACTATTTCTACACTTGACAAGCGTTTAGGTAACGTTAAAGTTACAGAATTGAGATCGAAACTCTTGAAACCAATATAAAATGTGCTCTTAATTCTGTAGTAAATAAAGAAATGCCATGAAAACAACACAGTGAGCAAATGACACTAATCTGTGATTAAAGCCCACTTCAGTCCAGTTTGCTCGTTAGTCATAGTTTGAGCAGAAAACTGAGCAAGTGCAAAAATCATCAAAGCACTGCTAATCTGTTGTGTATCTAGAATTAAAGCACATGAAAGATGCAATTATTAAATATATGATTCAGATTGTGACATTAGCATGATCTCTCAGCGGCCACAGATTTGATGTTTTCTACACAGTTCAGTTCAGGAGGATTTTTCAAAGTTGACGAAATTCTTTTATAGAAATAAATGAGGGAATAAGGTTCATGTCACTAGTTTATATCACAGCAAGTTTAGTCTCCAGGAGCAGATCTTTATGATCAGTGTTGAGATGATCAGATTACTTTTTTCAAGTAACTAGTAAAGTAACACATTACTGTTTCATTTAAAAGAAATGATCGGAGTTACTTTTCCAAATAAGTTTACGCCAGTTACTTTGTGTCCTCATGTTGAGAGAATCAGGAGTGAGTGCAGATGCGCTGTGTGAACATGTTCCTGTAGATCTAGACTAACGTGTGTACTCCTCTCACTGCACAGAAACAGATTCAGTATTCCTCAAAAAATGAATGAAAACCGTGAGATGCAAACTCAGAATATGACACAAACCTGCAATAATTAAATATGTTGATAATTGAATTTATATTTCCTTCAGCCTCAGGCTTATTTGTTTCACTTTTGGTGTGAAAGGGCTTTTACATTTGCCAAAAATAAAACTTTTTAATATTAAAAACAAACGAGCAAGCCCAGCTCAGATGAGAAAAAGTAACATAACGTTTTCCCCATCACTGTTTATGATCTTTAGCTTGCTGGGTGTGAGGGGTCGTTCTGTTGTTTTTAGGACTGTAGGAACCTCTTCTGACTCATGAGTAATTAACAACCGCATGACGAGATCCTGTAATGAGCACGTGTGTCCTTCTGTTTAAAACAATGTTTTCTCTTTTTTTCAGGCACTTTTGAACACATTTGGAGAAATGTAAGGATTAGAAACACACTTTGCCTGCAGCAGTGAGTGAGGAAGCGTCTGGCCGTCCGAGAGCATCATGAACGAGTCTCTCTCCGCGACGGAGACCGCAAGAGTGGCCTGCGCTCCGGAGATCAGGAGAGAATATGAGCTGGGACCGGCTGTTACCTGCTCGCTCTGCTTCGCTCTGGGGCTCATTTACTGTTTCTGCGGTGAGTCTGAAAGAGACACGACCACAGATAATCATTGCAGCGAGAAGTTAACCGTAGAGTACATGAACTACTGATTTCTACTGCATTTAGTTTTGATTGTATACTACCGTTTAAATGTTTCTGTACAGTTAGTTGTTCTCGTGTACACTAAATAAAAACTACAATTCAGGGTAACTAACTAGAACTAGAACTTCAAACTTATTTTCAGACGTTTTGAGCTTAATGTCCAGCGTTGTGTTCCAAGCGATGTGCAGACTGAAGTCTATGAAATTAAATATAGTGATTATATCAGTGTTATACAAATGTGCATAAAGTATTTAACCACTTTATGCTTTCTAGGGTTGCGACATGGACTTGTGCTGCTTTCTGCTTCAGCTGTAATGTGGCTCACACAAAAGCATGTTTTCAGCTGGTACGATAGTTATCTCAATAACAGTTACACAAGGAAACTGAGAACAATAAGGCAGTGTGTAAAATGTAGTGCTATTTAAAACATCAATGTAAAAACAGATGGACCTTCAGCTGAACGCTGTTGGACTGAACAAACACATTTCGGGACCAGCCTCAGATCTGTGCTTGTTCCTCTAAGTTTAGCTCTATTGTTAGTCGGGAAGGACATCCAGAAATATCCGACTGTACTCGGTCCAGACTGTCGTACCTGCTGCGGTCGAGTAAAAGCTGCTGAGGGACACCAGAGAAACCGCTCAGCCGTGTTGCTATCGATGGGTAGAGTATGCTATAACTGGCAACTAACCACTAACAAGGTTTCTCTTTATTCTCCCGTACACAAATTAAGGCCTGATAAAGGTCTTAAATCGGAGCAGAAAGTCTTAAATTCATAAAGTCGTGGCATTAAATGTTGCATGAACTGCAAAAAAACGAATACCTTCCTCAGTATTTGTCTTGTTTTCCAGTACAAACATCTAAACATCCTTAAATCAAGAATCATTTACTGCAGATGCAAAATGAAGATGTGAAGTCTTGTCTTCTGAGAAATTGAACAAAATTGATTTTATGTTTAAAACTGGAACAAATATCTGTCAGTGGGGAATGAAAAGTTGTTTATTCTTTGAATTAAGTTGATTTTTCTGAGCTCATTGGCAGATATTTGTTTTAATCATAAACTATTTTCATTTTGATCAATTTCTCATACTTGCTCTTAAAAAGGTCTTTAAAAAGCCTTAAATTTACCTTCATAAAACCTGCAGAAACCCAGACTTCGCTGCATGCAAGATAATCAACAACACACTATATTCACTGTGATCAGGCACATACTGGTCAACAGCAGTGACTGATAAGTGCAGTTAAATAAGGACGTGTGGTGAAGCGCTGATTGTGATGAATGTGAATCGTCGTTTGTAACTGATGTCACGTTCTGGTCCTGCTCTCCAGGTTACCGCTGTTTTAAGACGGTGCTGTTTGTGTCGGGCCTGGCGTGGGGCGCTGCTGTCGGACAGCTGCTGTGTGTGCAGGAGCGTCTGCTGGACGGCTGGACGCGGGCGAGCGTCTCTCTGGGCGTGGGTCTGCTGGCGGCGCTCGTGGCGGTGCTGGTGCGCAGCGTTGGGCTCTTCCTCACCGGCCTCCAGCTGGGAGCGCTGCTCTCCGGCGCCGCCCTGCTGCTGCTGGGACAGTATTACCCCGTGCTCAGCCCGCCGTGGGCCCCTGTCGGCGCGGTCGTAGGAGCCAGTGTCTTCTGTGCCGTCATCACTCTGTGCTGGAGGAAGGCCATGATGGTAGCTGCTACGGCTTCGGTCGGGGCCGCGGGGGCCACGGTGTGTGTGGGTTACTGGGTGGAGACGCCTGTGCTGGTGCTGCGGGCGTTTGAGGGTCTGAAGACACAACAGGGCTTGTGCTGGTACAGCTGGCCGGTGATGGGGATTTGGCCTGTACTCACAGCACTGGGGATGCTGGTCCAGTGCAGAATCACAGCGCATGCTGACGGTATCGGCTCACATCACAAACAAGCCACAGAAGACACACGCAGACCACATTTCACCCCAACACACAGCTATATACAGACAGAGAGAGCATACAGCTCATTTCAGCTTTAATTTGTACTACCAAAAACAGGGATGCACCGATACCTTTTTTTTCTGATCCGATCCGACTGATACCAGCACAGGTTTAGTTTTTTAGTTTTTTTAAATCAATGTAGAATTTCTATACCTCTGAGTGTTGATCTGATCATCACTGTTTTGTGTGTTAAACACAATCTACTAAATATAGACAACTTCATTATGCACAAAAATAACAAATAAAAACATATAATCATATCTATGACAAAAATACTATTATAAACTAGGTCAGTGGGTAATTCAGCAGCAGAAGTTACTCTAGAAAAATCATGAGTGCACAATAATTTTATCAAATCTAAACCTTTATTCAAAAAACATTATTTAGTGGGGAACAAATAAAAGTGAATAAGTGTAGGACTAAATCTGGTAAACTTACTGTTACACATTGCTCTTTGTATTGTTGTAAAATACATTCATGAAAAACCAGTAAATATATTTATATTTAAATATATACTATAACATTAAAAGATATTTCATTTAAATGTATAGCGCAATAATGAGGCGGCAGCATATGATAGATAAGACGACAAGAAAGGCTATTAATAACCTTGCATTGCGCAGAAGTATTATAACATGAAAGGCTCCAATGCAGAGCAGCACAATGCTTCTTTATTGAAGCAACAGCGTTCCCAGTGCTCTCTACTCCAGTGCTGTGATCTAACAGACATATGGTAGAAACTTAGGTGATTTAGAAACAGCACTAAACTCCAGCCAGATAAAGTCCTTTTATGCAAAACCATTTATCTTTATCTACAGATCAAGTGTTATAATAGCAACACTGAATCATCTTGCAGAGTTTCAGCGTCTTGACTGTCGTAACTGATGACTGTCAGCCGCAGCGGAGAGAAGAGTTTAACGACTCTAATATTCATCTGAACCTCACATTAAACTACGGAACGGCTTCAGAAGACTTGGAATATAGTGCACGAAAACTTTATGGTGCTTTAGAATGTTCTTGTGCCTTTCGTGGAGCTTAATAATAACTCTGATCCTGATACCTGATCCGGCAGAAAACAGCAGCATCGGATCCTGAGCATCAGATCGCTGCATCCCTAGCCAAAAATGTAGTTGTTTTTATTTTGGGGTGAAATATGACCTGCATGTGTTCTTGACAGCTTTCCAGAATACATACACAAACTATAAGAGGAAAAACTCAGACAAACGCAGGGTTTCTGTGGGTCTTAAAAACTCTTCATTCACCCGTCCACAGATTAAGCTCTTATAAGCTCTAAATCAGAGCAGAAAGTCCTAAATTCATAAAGTCGTACAGCAAAAAATGCTTTTCTTAGATTTTTTTGTCTTGTTTTCAAAATTTTTAGATATTTTGACTGAAAACAAGACAAAAAATCTAAGTAAGAAAAGAATTGTTTGCAGTGTAGCATTAAATGTTGCATTTAAGTAATTTTTGTCTTAAAAGTTCTGTTTAGTTTAACTGAGTTTGTCGTTGTACTGTTTTGGTGTCCATTCAAGCAACTGACGCAGAAAAGTAAAATGCACACGGGCATTTAGAAGCTATTTAAAGGTGATGTAATCACCGTCACAACCCTAGTTCTTATCTTAAAGTCATTTTGTTTCTCCAGTGAATGTATCTCGATTTAAGAATACTCTGGAAAACAGGAGGAAGAACATTATAGTGTGATCAGAAGGTACAGTAAAGATTATTTCCATATTCTAGTGTTTGTGAGCAGACATATTCAAACCATAAGTTTTTTTTCTGTAAGAGTAATCAGAAAGTAATAGAGATCTGTTGGAAGTTTATTTTCAAAACTCTGAATTGTTAAGAAAACATATTGGCGTGTTTATTCCTTAACTTAAATTGGTCTTGAAAAGATCTTAAAAAGTCTTGCATTTACCTGCAGAAACCCTGCGAAGAAAAAGGCATTAGGGTGGATGAAGGGACTGTTGTAGAGCTGCTGTTGTGTCTGTGTGTGGTGTCAGTGTGTGCGACGGGTGAACAGAAGCAGCTGGATCTGACGAGGATCAGACAGACGCGTGGCCGCAGACCGCCGGCCCTCCAGCGCTACACGGGAGACGTGCTGGCCCCGGTACAGCCCCGGCACACATTACACGTCTTTATCATCACGCGGTGTCTGCTTTACTCTGATCTCAGCGTCTGCTGTCTGTCTGTCTGTCTGCAGAGTTATCTGGCGAGTCTGCGAGAGCGGCAGACACACACGGGCTCCTCGCTGTTGAGCTTGAGCTCCGTTCATCACATCATGATCGACTTTGATTCTGAGACGGGATCGCTGGTGCCTCTCACTGCTTCAGCGTCGGCTCTTCTCAGACTGTAAAGCAATCGCACATGATCTCCGAGGACGCATCCACTCCGCTGATCTGAGTCTGCAGTTCACCTCAGCTGCATGCAAACACACTTACTTTACAAATAGCTTCAGTCTTATTCACAAGACACTGATTATATTGAGATGTTTATTAAAGCTTGTCTCAGAGCGTGGTACACAGCTGTATGTGGACACCGGGCTTCTGCAGGGCTTCTGCAGGTCTGAGAGAGGGTTCAAAGAGTCTTCATTCACTCTTCCACAAATGAAGGCCTAAAAAGCTCTTAAATCAGAGCAGAAAGTCTTAGATTCATAAAGTCGTGGCATGCTTTGCTAAAAATGAATCTCTCAGTATTTCTGTCTTGTTCTTCAGTTCAAATATCTAAACATCCTTAAATCAAGAGAACCTGTTTCACTTTGAATTAAGTTGATTTTTCCAACTCTGTTGGCAGATATTTCTTGTTGCTTTGACCATAAACTCACTTCATTTTGATCAGTTTCACAAAAAGCAAGATAGATGTCATTTTGCATCTCCAGCAAATTTATCTTGGTTTAAAAATCTTTTCACTGGAAAACAAGACAAACGCTGAAGAAGCACCGAGAGAGCTGAAGGTACAGTAAAAGTCATATCCATATTCTAGTGTTTGTGAGTAGAGCTATTCAATCCATAAGCTGTTTTTTTTTTCTTTTGCAAAAATGAATTATAAAGTAATGGAGATCTGTTGGAAGTTATATTTTCAAACTTTGAAGTGTTGCTAATACAGGACGTTTACATTTAGAGACCTTACTAACATACTGACTTCTGTTCAATTTATTTTCTTCACTTCAAAACTTTTCACTAAATGTATCTCCATAGAACCTGCAGAAACCCTGTTATATATCAAATTTCACAAATGAAATTTTGTGATTTTGATCAGGGAGTATTTTGTTGATTTGTCTGATTCATGTTCTGCTCGTGGTCAGTAAGTTTCATTGAGTAAGGCTTTCAGTCCTGCTCCTGGGGGCCCATGGCTCTGTCTCCTTTAATTAATGCCTGATTGAGATCATCAGCTCGTTAGGAGAGGTCCATGTGTGTCAGAGACATCTGATTGACTTTATCAGGACGCTCTGTAGATGAAAGACAGCAGATTAGCCTAGGATGAGTTTGAAAAGTAGTTTCACAGCAAAAAAAGATTAGACACAATCCAGGCATCCATGCAAAAAATAAAAGATTCTGGAAATGATTCATGAAAATGCGTTGGCACACGTCTGAAGGTTGGATTTGATGAAGTACAGTGTGTTTGGTGTCAGTGTGCTGGAACTTCATGATGTTCCCTACTGAGGGCACTAAAACAGGCTTGTTATTCACTCTGTACTGTTGGTGTTTCAGCATCATTGTACATGTAAAGCGTCTTTGCTGTAATTTGAAATGATTATTTCTGTAATGACAAACAGGTGTTTTTATTCTGTGCTCTGGATTCCTCTCTGAACTTCACAGCTTATATTCATTGTACAAAAATTAGTTCCACGTAATGAACTAATGCATTATTCTCTATTAGCGTTCATGCAGAATGAAAGACTATTCCTTTAAATGTGTTATTAGATGCGTTTATCTCTGCATCTCTGAAAATGAGCTTATTTCCTCCAGTTAATACATTTACTAGCCATCCACTGTCGTGTAAAGACACTATAAGTTACAACAGTGACTTTCGTTTCAAACCTTTTTATTAATAGGCTACTCATTTGAACAATTAAAAATGAATCAAAAGTGATTTAAAAGCTTGTGTGCGTCTAATACATCAGTTACTAGAGTCATGCATAAGTATATGTACATATACAGTATATATGTGCTCATGTATACATCAGAGAGAAAAACATGACTAATAAACTGCTGACAATGACTGGTAATCTGTCCGATATCTTAACTATAGATGATGTCCTGTTTGATGTATGACATGCTGAATATAACCCATGATGAAGGTTAATGGTCACAGTGCATCCATCGCTGTCTGGAGCGGAGCGGATAACTCTCCTCGAGCGTCAGCGCGGTACTCACGCGCCACTGCCGCGCGTCGCGGAACACATAGACGCGTCCGTCGCTCCCCGTGAACGCAGCGTCCGGATCCGAGGGCAGAGCGGAGATGAGCTGGAGGGGTTTAGCTGATCCCAGTTCATCCCAGAGCCAGTATTCTGATCCCTGCGGAACAGACACACATCACACTCGGCTCGAGCAGAACAATCTCCCGCAGATTCTCACCTTGATGAAGACGATCGCTCGGCGGCGCTTGAGGAAGAACGCGGCCTGAATGTTGGAGGGGATGCTGAGGCGTTTCGGGTAGCCCTGGTCCAGTTTAAAGCCGGAATATCTCCAGACTTTATCTCCTGTGGAAACCAGGTACAGAGGATGACCATTAATAACTCCATGTTGGAATTACAGCAGTGTCTGTTCAAATAGTGTTTCGAATAGACACTTTCTAGGTCAGTTTCAACAGATACAGTACTTGTCAAAAGTTTGGAAACATTTTAAATGTTTCTGAAAGGAGTCTCTTCTGCTCATCGGAGCTGCATTTATTTGATCAAAAATGCAGTAAAAATGTGAAATATTGAAGTTTAAAACAGCTGTTTTCTATGTGAATATGTGTTAAACTGTAATGTATTTCTGTGATGCGCAGCTGTATTTTCAGCATCATTACTCCAGTCTTCAGTGTCACATGATCTTCAGAAATCAGTATAATATGCTGATTATTAGAAACATTTCTGATTATCATCAGTGTTGAAAACAGTCGTGCTGCACAATATTTTTGTGGAAACTGCGATGCATTTTATTTTTCAGGATTCACAGATGAACAGAAAGTTCAGAAGAACAGCATTTATTTGAAATAGAAATCTTTTGTAACATTATAAATGTCTTTACTGGCACTTTTGATCAGTTTAATGCATCCTTGATCAATAAAAGTGTTCATTTATTTAAAAGCACTTGCGCACATACCCCAAAAATGTGAATGGAAGTGTATTACGATTTCCACAAAAATATTGAGTTTTGATAATATTGATAATAATCAGAAATGTTGATCACAATAATTAGAATATATTGTAATATACAGTACGTTATACAATATATATATTGTGTTTTTGATCAATTAAATGCAGCTTTGGTGAGCAGAAGAGACTTAAAAAATATATCTAAATTACGACCTATGCTCTCAATGTCAAATGCAGAAATGTTAATCCATGCGTTCATGACCTCAAGGTTAGATTATTGTAATGCTTTATTGGGTGGTTGTTCTGCACGCTTAATAAACAAACTCCAGCTGGTCCAAAATGCAGCAGCTAGAGTTCTTACTAGAACCAGGAAGTATGACCATATTAGCCCGGTTCTGTCAACACTGCACTGGCTACCTATTAAACATCCTATAGATTTTAAAATCTTGCTAATTACTTATAAAGCCCTGAATGGTTTAGCACCTCAGTATTTGAACGAGCTCTTATTGCATTATAGTCCTCCACGTCCGCTGCGTTCTCAAAACTCTAGCAATTTCATAATACCTAGAATATCAAAAATCAACTGCGGGCGGAAGATCCTTTCCCTATTTAGCGCCGAAACTCTGGAATAATCTACCTAACATTGTTCGGGAGGCAGACACACTCTGTCAGTTTAAATCTAGATTAAAGACCCATCTTTTTAACCTGGCTTACACATAACACACTAACACATTTCTAATATTCAAATCCGTTAAAGGATTTTTAGGCTGCATTAATTAGGACAACCGGCAAAACTCTGGCCATTTGATAATACCTAGAATATCAAAATCAACTGCGGGTGGCAGATCCTTCTCCTATTTAGCTCCCAAACTCTGGAATAACCTACCTAACATTGTTCGGGAGGCAGACACACTCTGTCAGTTTAAATCTAGATTAAAGACCCATCTCTTTAACCTGACTTACACATAACACACGAACACGTTTCTAATATTCAAATCTGTTAAAGAATTTTTAGGCTGTTTTAATTAGGACAACCGGAACCGGGAACACTTCCCATAACACCCGATGTACTTGCTACATTGTTAGAAGAATGGCATCTACGCTAATATTAGTCTGTTTCTCTCTTATTCCGAGATCACCACAGCCACCAGATCCAGTCTGTATCCAGATCAGATGGTCACTGCACCAGTGTTAATTTTGACAGCAAATTTTGATTTAGTTTCAATCATAGTCTTTTGACTAAAATGTCATTTAGTTTTAGTCATATTTTAGTCATCTGAATTGTTTTTAGTTTTAGTCTAGTTTTAGTCGACTAAATATCATACAATTTTAGTCGACTAAATCTACAGTAATTTTAGTCGGCTAAAATATAATGGGTTAGTTACAGTGTAATGCATTTATTAAGCATTTCTCTAAAACTCATTATATAGGTTTGATATTAAGGTTTTATCATGATAGACACCGATTTAACTGCGGTGACACACAACATGCTTTTGTGTTCAAATTAAATAAAAGCACTTCTCATAAAGAACAAGAACATGGTCTACTTTTTAATGAAATACCAATGGTTATATCGGCTAATTATGCATTCTTTATAGCAACTTGTTTACCATATTCTTCATTCTTTCAAGCAGACATATTTATTTCTATAAATAAATTTTGATTAATCTTTAGGGCTACTAAAGTTTTCAGTCAAGAGCTGTGCGTGATTTTCTGTCTTTCTGTTGTTGCTTGATTAACATCACTGACTCGGACAATAGCAACTAAATTAGGCTGCTGTCTCTTTAAAACTGAATGCACAGCTGCAATGGATGCAATGTACTGAGACACGTTCTCCCTACTGTTTACGTTCACTTAAGAAGTGTTTATGCGAATACTCGTCAAAACAGACACTTTGACATTTTGTGTGTAATTCTCCGTTCATGCGACGAGAAAGAGTACTCGCGCGCTGTGAGAGGCACTTTCTGTGTGTGTGTGCTTCTGTGTCTGCGCTCAGAAAACCGGCCCGACCTGAGTTCTCTCTTGCGTCGTCAGATTTATCCATATGTCTGCTCTTCTCTTACTCCCACATATTTGAACGTTTTATGCAACGTGCAGCAAGTGTACATTAGCTTATGTCCTGCCGGTTCATATGTACGCATCTAACCTCAGAACCACACAACAGATTCGTTCTGAATGAATCTCTTACCAAATCGTCCCTCCCTAACATTTTCGTCCCATTTTTATTTTATTTATAAATATTCGTCATAGTTTTTGTCATTCAGAAAGAGTTTTAGTTCGTTATCGTCGGTGAAAAAAATTTTGTTGACGAAAATTATTTGTCAACGAAATTAACACTGCACTGCAGTCACCCGGATCCAGTCCGTATCCAGCCCAGATGGTGGATCAGCACCTAGAGAGGACCTCTACAGCCCTGAAAGACAGCGGAGACCAGGACAACTAGATGAGCCCCAGATCCCCAGTGAAGACCTTGTCTCCTAGACGGCCACCGGGACAAGACCACAGGAGCCAGTTGAGTCCTCTGCTCAATGACTCAGAGACTTTGCTGCAGCCTGGAATTAAACCACATCATGCTGGTTTGGTCTGGTCAGAGGAGAACTGGCCCCCCGACTGAGCCTGGTTTCTCCCAAGGTTTTTTCTCCATTTCTGTCACAGATGGAGTTTTGGTTCCTCTGGCTTGCTTAGTTGGGGA